CTGCTGAAGGTTGATGGCTGATGGCGTTGGCGGTGGCGTTGGCGGTGGCGGTGGCGGCGGCGGCTGGCTGATTTGTGCTCTGTGCTCTGTGCTCTGTGCTCTGTGCTCTGTGCTCTGTGCTCTGTGCTCTTTGCTTTGTGCTCTGTGTTCGGTGCTCATGTCGGTTCTGTGTTGGATCTGGGATTGGTCCTATGTCTTTGGTAGTGTAGTATGTGGCATTGGTCGCATACTGTTTCCAGGTAAAACCTCACCGCGACGGCGACGGACGAGGTATCGCAAGACGACATTTTCAGACCTACTAGCGCAGTTTGTGGACCTCCTGGCGCCGTTCTTCGATTCGCTGGAGTAGTCTTGACTCAATGTACAGGCGTACACATTTGAGCCATTGCTATTCGTGCGTGTGTCAGATAGCTGTGTCAGATGTGATATCATCGTGCCAGATTGCATCTTGCTGGCTCGTTGCTTTTCACGCGGACGGGTCTATGTTCTATTTTTCACACATACAAAGAAGAGGTTTCCGAGCTCGACGCACGCGTGTTTTCCTGGTACCCGAAATGCAAGGCCGGGTTCCACAACGTTGGCTGCTGCATTTGCTCGCCCGATTGCCCCGAGGGGTTCCGTGACGACGGTGCGTTCTGCGCCAAGGACAGCTACGGCCGTGGCGTCGGTGTCTCGCGCCTCGGGTGCCCCAAGCATCTGGAGAAGAGCGGCCTCTTCTGCTACCCGCCGTGCGCTGCCAACCAAGTCGGCGTCGGTCCCGTGTGCTGGCCGCAGTGTGTGAACCCCGCTGGCACCGACTGCGGCCTCTTCTGCACATCCAGCGTCGCCACGTGCGTCAACACCGTCGTCGACATTGTCGGCCAAACGGCCAAGGTGACGCTCAGCTTGGTGGCCGAAGACTACACTGGCGCGATCATGACCGCAGTCCAGACGGGCGGCAAGTACATCTACATCAGCTTGAACGCGTGCCCCAAGTAACTGCATCGTGCTGTCGCTCATCTTGCATTGTTGTCGACGTAGCGGGTTGACATGCATGTTCATAAGGATCCGGAAGACATGGTACATTCATTTCGGATTGGTCCTATGTCTTGTCAGGCGGTGTATTACCGGGATTACCACTATGGGTTTTTCTTTTTCTATGTGGTCCATCGTCAAGCTACTTGATCGACCAGCAGCGTCCGCGGTCGTGAGCCAGACCCGTGTTGCGGAGTTCCACTTGGCGTACCAAGCTCCTTCTTCTTCTTGCCTACGCATACGAGGG